CTCTTCATTCCTACATCTGATACAGTTTTCCTCTTCAGCTTCATAATCCACACTGTAACACCACACACTGTTACCATTTTCTGTAATTCGTTCATTTTGTATGAATTTAACAGCAACAGTGAAAAATGTCCAGTACAGAATGAGTCATCAAAGCAGAAAGCAACCACAAAACTGCGCAGAATAGGAAACGCTGCACAGTAATATGACTACAGCTCAGTCCAGACGCCCCAATCCAATCCCCGCCCCCCGAGTCCTGAGTCTGATCTGTGATTGGACAGGATTAGACAGAACGCTGTTTTGCGTTATATGACGGGATTTGAGAGGAAATCAATCCCCAGCTGTAGCCATCCTTTTCATTTGATTGCAGTTGAGAACTTTTGGTAAAAACAAAAACAAACAAACAATCAGCGACAACAAAAACGTGAGTACAGCATTTTTATATACATACGGAAAATAGTAGGAATTAGGAATTTTAGCGGATTTTTTTCTTTTCATAATCACATCAATTTTATGAACATATTAAGTTTTAACACTGGTAGCCTAAACATGTGAGTCACTTTAAACATTTTACATGAATGTCTAATAAAAAAAATAAATAAATAAATAAAATAAAGGTGTAATGTAACCCACATTATGTGTCAGGTGTGTGTAGTTTTCCTCCGTGTTTCTGTCAGTTCTTCACTTTACATTCCCCATCTGTACAGCTCACACATGCACATTATTATTATTATTTATTTAGGTCTAATTATTTCCATTCGCATTTATACAGAATCGACTTTATGATGCGGTATTTACAGTATTTACAGGATTCCCCCAAAAATGCGTTTTTCTGAATATTCCTGATGAACAGTGCTTCCTAGAATAAACTGTAGTGAACCTCATGCAGGACAGGACAATGCTGCACAGGGTGACTCATGTACCACGTGACTGTGCAGCGTTTCCTGTTCTAACCCTCTTGGGGTTGCTTTCTGCTTTGGTGACGCCATCTTTACTGGAAGTGTTTCAGTGTCGCTGTAACACTGATAAAACGGGGAATTTGGGCGAAATGGTAACAGTGTGTGGTGTTACAGTGTGGATTATGAAGCTGAAGAGGAAAACTGTATCAGATGTAGGAATGAAGAGCAAAAACAAACTGCGCAGTTTGGTTCAGGAAGACACAGGAGGATAATCTGTCCTCAAGGTAATGAACTATTTAATGTTAAAACTGTCAGAGTTACTCTTTCTGAAACATCTAGAAAGTAATATATTGCGGTTTGAGATGTGTAAGAAAAGGGCTTGGCTTTCTTCTGATTATATTGTAGATCCAGTTGAAACAGGACGCTTACAGGCCTGAATACTGGAGCTGTGTAACGTTTCATTTCCTGATCTCGGGGAGGGTTTTGGTGCTAGTAATAAATAATAATAGTAAT